AACTCCTTTCCTGCTCCTGTATTTGGCAGTGAGTGGTGTACCCTGTGAAGTATGGAGCTGTGTTTCCTTTCCTTCTCTTGGCTCCTGGGAGAAAAAAAAAACCTTTTATTCATGCCCATGCCAGATGCTAACTCCTGCTACTTCTAAAGGAACGAGTGATCAGGATGAAGTGGGAATACAGCCCTCAGCCCACAAGAAACCTGATCTATAATGAAGTTTCCAAAATCTTTACCCTCCTTTTTTTTCCCTGACTCTGCTCTGGATGGCAGATAAGGTACAGTGTGGATAAAAGCTGTGCCTGCCCCTCATGCCATGCCCTCCTTCAGTCCCTCCTGCCCGTTTCCTTCCTGGCCTTGCCCCCGAGAGAATGGCATTTCACTGCTTATTCCTCAGCAGGGTTTGATGGTCACGGAGGACCCAATGCAGGAGGTCCCGTTTGTTATTTAACCTACTTTTCAGAGGCACAAGAACATCAAGTGACTCGCACAAGGTCGTCCATGAGTCAGTGACTCCTCTGGCGTGATGGCCAGAGCCTGCAGTCCCTGCTCCCACCACTAGATCCCCGTGCCCACAATCCACAGCACCACAACCGTTCAATTAAGCTCCTGCAGCGCCTTAAATGTCGTGTATTTCTGGGTTTGACAGCAGTCCTGGTATTCTTGTGGAGCCTTGCCTTAGGAAATGACAACAGATGAGGTCAGGTCGTCATTAGCGATGCCCTTGGAAGCATCACTGCCTGATGCAAGGGCAGGCTCTGGGGTATGGGTGCTGTCACAGCTGGGAATCCCAGGACCTGCAGCTTCCCAGGACCCTGCTGGACCAACACAGTTGGACAAGGAGCCCCAGGCTCTCTGAATGGGCAGATCTGTGTCAATGTGAGTGGGCTGCAGGTACCAGAGGTAATGAACACATTGTGAAGAGAGAGGGAAGGAAGCAACTTATAAATAATATATTTGATGTATATTATATATATGATATAGTAACAGCAGCACTGGTTTGTTATGGTGTGCATTTTTTTAATGTGTAATCTCGTAAGGCACTTACCCCTGTTCCTGACAACTCGATAAATTATTATTACCAATTCTATATCTAATTGCCGCAGTTATTTCCCCCTAGACAATTTGAATCCGAAAAATACCCACTAGAAAGGTGCTTGGAGGGCTGTTTCCCAGAGCTTCCCTGGCTGTTTCTGGAGGCAGCCCCTCTTCCGCTGGTGAGCCCCACTTCTGCCAGCCTCGTGACCCCTGCACTGGCACAAACAATTGCATTTCTGTCGGGCTCATGACCCCACTTGTAACAGCAGTGACCCCCCTTGGGGTCAGGACCCCTCTCCTGCACGGGGAACAGCTCCTGCCCAGCAGCTCTTGCTGAATGGCTCTTCTTCCCTCACTCCTGTGTGGACCCGGCTGTTCCACACTAAGTTTGCCGATGTGAAATTTAGGTTAATCCATTTCCAAAGTGGATTAAGCTAACCCACACAAAGGCACTTAGTATAAAATAGGAGTGTCCACATGGTGAGGCAGCATGGAATAGTGACTGTGCCTCAAACTCACATCCTGGCCAGTTTGTGTCCTCTGCAAGCTCACCAAACGGAGGGGCAGGCACTTTGGTCCCAGGGGATGTGCTCTCCCAAATGGCTTTAAGCCGGTCTAGCTTGAAGCCAAAGGAAGTGCAAGGAGTAAACAAAGCCCAGCAATGGGAAGGGGTTAAAGCCCGCTCTGCTGAGGTTCTCGGCAAGGCTCCTGTTCACCTTAAATGGTCAGGATTTTATTTTAGCTTCAGGGAGGAGCAGCAGCCATGGAGCTGGGAGTGCAGAGAAGGCCCTGTGGCTGGGGGCTCCCAGCCCGCTGCCCTCCCAGCCATCCGCTTCCTGCGGAAGGCCCCCAGGGCTCCCGCTCCTGCCTTTCAGCCTCTGGCTCCATGATCAGCCTGGAGGAGATGGAAATGTAGTACTGAGTGATGCCCATTTTCACCTCTGGCCTCAGATCTTCCTGAGCCACCCTCTTCCCTTGCCGCTTCCCTGGCAGTGAGGTGGTTAACGCTGGAACAGATAACATCATAACTGGACATCTGCACTAACAAGCCATAAGCCCAAACCTGGCATTTCCCATCCTGGCTCTGGCACCATTTCTGGTACCAGCCTATTGCAGGCTCCACTTTGAACTGCTACACTTGGTTAATTTCTTAAACCATTTCCTTTGTAACCATTAAATAGTGAAACATGAGGTGGGCTGGGGAGGGGGATGCTGCAATGCTGGTGCCCATCACTGTGGTGGGGATCACCGTCCCATCATGGCGAAATCAAACTAAGACAGAGGTCACTGACCCACTGCCCTCGGAGCCCAGCCTGGGAGCGAGTTACCAGCCTGGGGGATGCCTGGACCCCCAGCGCTGCCCTGCCAGTCCTGGGATGCAGCATCCCCATCCTCCGGGGATCGGGCAGCCGGTGCCCTGCCCAGAGCTGTGCTGGGCAAGCCCGTTTCCCCACAGCCCTGCTCCAGCATTCAGAGGCTGCAGCGGTGGGTGATAGTGCTGCCGGCAGCGCGTGGTCCTTCTGCTCCCGCGGAGCGAGGGAGAATCATCAGGAACAAAAGGATTCGGCACCACGGCACCCACCGCGCGGGGAAGGGGCTGCGGGACCCACCGAGCCCAGGGCTCGCTGCAGGGGCCCCGCACTTGCACTCGCGCACGGGCGGACCCAGGGACGGAGCTCCCGGGGCCGCACCGAGCCGGGCAGGCAGAGGGTCCCTGGGCCGGGCCGAGACGGGTGGCAGCTCCCGGTGCTGTGTCGAGCGGAGGGTCCCCGGATCGGCTGCAGCCCCCCGGGCCGTGCGGAGCGGAGGATGCCCGGGCAGGTAGCGGCACTCCCGGCCGATCCGAACCGATGCGTACCGTGCCCCGGCCGCACATTCTCGCGCTCTCCAGCAGCCGCCCGGCCCTGGACATTGTCTCCTCCCGGGGAAGGGCCCTCCCGGCCCTCCACAATGTGCTCTTCCAGGCGCGGCTCCGCGCCCCCCGCCGCGCCCGGCCC